TGCGTGAACATTTGGGCGGTGTTATGCAAATCTTCCCACATCGTGATGTAGACACGTGGGGGCGTGTTAGAATGAGCTGTTTTAGGAGGGCGTGGCTGACTCTTAATGTTTATAAAGAATATCTCTTTGGATTTGAGACTTTAGTCTTTGCAACTTTACAGATCTTCTTTATGCACCAAGAGCTTGTAACACTCCAAGGAGAAAGGAAAAATTGAAATCGCATCATATGACCCCTTTAAAAATAAACTGAGAGAATCTCACAAAGCCTGTCACAAACATGTTAAGGACATATTTGAAGCCAAATTTAAAAATAATAATAATAATTTTCATTTACACGCTTCATTTTCTTTATGCACTTTTTTCATATTTCTTGTTCTTCCCTCAGTGCGTCAGAAGTCATGTGTGGCCCGTCTGGGTGGGCGTGCTGAAGGTGTGGATGCCGAGCGGGAGCGGTTGATGGTACAGAAACTGAAAGAGAGATGTGAAGATCAGGCTCGGCAGCTGATCACCCTGCAGGATGAGCTCAGGAAGTCCTCACGATGCCTGGATGTGTTCATCATATCCACACAACACTTCTGCCAGAAGGTAACACACTGTCAAAGCTGTAAATGCCAAAGAGCTGGTAACTTAATAGTTAAGACCCACAGGGGTTGCAGCCTGGATCAATCCTAGATAGGGATGACCCAGAATTCAAAGTTGAAGTTGTAAATGGCATAAAAAAAAATAGCTGAATAATTGTTTTGAAACTAACTGTTCGAAAGAATGGATTTGTGGAAATGGGCCTCAGTCCCGGTTTCATGTCACATTAGGGACAAGACAAAGATTACTTGTCATTTAAGCTCAAACATCTTATCTACAATTTGTAGAACACTAATTTGAAAGAAGGCCGGTTTGGAGCAATGTAGTTTGATCAAGAACCCAGGGGTTAAAGGTTAACTCTTTAACCACAAACTCATTGTACTGACAACTCATCAATTTAATATTTACTTATATTCTGCATAGCTGTAAAGTTTTTGTCAGCATTTATTTAAAACCCCCCATAATGAGGAGCCTTGGTTGGTTAGATAATGTTAGAAAACCCCAGTTTTTGTACAAAACTAGATAGATAGACAGACAGACAGACAGACTGACTGACTGATTAATTGACTGATCGACTGATTGAATTTAGTTCCAGATGACCTGTTGATTGAATTTTCCATGGACCACTGGTTCTTCACAAAGTTGTTAGGATCACTATCGAGTCCAACTCCCTTTAATTTATGCATTTGTTTTACTCCCGTTTGTGCAGTTTCCCTTACTAAAGACTTTGGCTTGCTTAGTTGGGGACACTTGACTGACTGATTGCACAGACACTATTGGAAGAGAGCTGAACTGGATGATGACATCACTGAATCCTCAATGAACTGACTTTAGCTGGAAAAATGACTCTTTGTTATTGTCTTCTTGCATTATTGACAAACTATTTTCCTGTTTGACACTGTAAAGCTGCTTTGACATAATCAGTATTGTATAAAGTGCTATACAACTAAAGGTGACTTGACTTGACTTAGAGCCCAGTCATGTTGCAGAATCTTTTACCACTCAGTCTGGCTGAGGGGACCTGTCCCAGCAGGAAAGTAACATCAATGCATTGCCTGTATTTAAAATAATAATAATTAAATCCTGTTGCTATGCAGTCACTAGGGTGCTGTGGGTGGTTGCTATGGCATTACTACGTCATTGCTAAGGTCTTATGAGTGTTTGTTTGTATGTTGCGAAGAGGTTGCTAGAAAACTCAAACAACCTTAGCAACTACAAAATGGACTAGTAACCATCTAGAGCACCCTACCGACTGCAAAACGCAAATATTTAGTCACTAGATATTTGCAAAAACATAAAAGCAACCATCCAGAACTCCCTAGTGACTGCATAGCAACATGGTAACACCCACTCAAAATGCTTCAACAATCAAAAAAGTTGAAACATCCAAGCTACTCACAACACCCTAGCTACTGAATAGAAACATCCAAAGAGTGGTGGTTAGCATGTTGCTATGTAGTCACTAAGGTGTTTTGGGTGGTTGCTCTGGCATTGCTAAGGTGTTGTGACTGTTTATTTGTGTGCTGCTGTGTGGTTGCTAGGGCTTTCTGAATGGTTGTGGTATTATGTTGTTGCTAAAGGCTGGAATACACTACACGACTTTTAAAATCTGAACAGATTTTAAAACACTGGGCATCATACACTTACCGACTTTGCAATAGTCGCAGAGGAAAAACTGTCCATCATACACTAAATGACTGAGGATCACACACTACCAGACTTTAAAGTTGTTCCGATCACAACAAACTCAAGCAGAAGCTGTGCATTGTTGCTAGGAGACGCATGACAAATGAAAACAATATGTGTTCTAAAATTGGCTCAAAATATCAAACATGTTTGATATCCTCCGATTAGATGGAATCATAGTCTGAAGCTAAAAAAAAAAATCAGAGTTTGTGACCATAATACACTACGTGATTTTTTATGAAACCTGTCAACTGAAATCTGCAGACTGGCTCTGACTTTCGGCAACTAGCGTCAACTTCTCCAGACTGTAAATGGGGGGAAAATCGGGCCAAAAGTCATGTAGTGTATTCCAGGCTTAAGCCGTCATGAGTGATGGTTTGCATGTTACTATGTAGTCACTATGATGTTCTGGATGCTTGCTTGGGCTTTATGTAGTTGCTAAGGTGTTGTAAGTGGTTGTTGACAAGTTTTCCAGACCGCTATGGTGTTTTTATGACCTTTTTGGATCTTGACAACCTGTCTGCTATTGATAAATTGTCATGCTAATAATAACGCTACCTTCACATGCTATTGAAATTATCGTAAATACGAGTTTCCAAGTCGGAAATTTGACATGAACGACCTCTCAAGTCATATTTACAACTGGGAAACTCTTTTTGATACCCGAGTTTCCGAGCTGGGAGGGCCATAAACTTGAAACATGGTGGAGGGGAAAGATATAGTTGTAGTTCTGATAAGTTTTATTAATTTTTCCCACAACATCTACATTGCTTTCTCCTGCCATTACAGTCATGTATATTTAAGTAAATAAATAACCATTTGATGCATATTGTATGTAACAGTGAAAAATAGCGTATATTTGACCGTAATATCAGAATCGTCAGTAAGCTTAATTGTGCAGTAAATGTTTATATGGTTACCAATGAATGGGATGCTACATTTTAACCTGTTGGATGTTGATTAAATATCTTTTGGCTTTAATAAGATTTCCCCAAGAAATAGGCAAGAATGAACTCATGAATGGGCCGTCCTCCATGATTCCTGTTCTTTTCGACAACAAAGCACTTGGACTAACTCATAATTACAACTTCAGAACTGGGAAGTAGGAAATTTCTGATAGCACGTGAATTGCAGCATAAGATATTCTGAATGGTTTCCAGGGCATTGCTATAATGTTAGTAAGGTGTTGTGGGTGGTTGTTTGAGTGTTTCTATGTAGTCACTCGGTCAGGGGTTCTCAACTCTGGCCCATGAGACACATTTTCCTGCAGAGTTTAGCTCCAACCTTGATCAAACTCACCTGTAACTTTCTAGTGATCCTAAAGACCTTGATTAGCTTGTTCAGGTGTGTCTGATTAGGGTTGGAGCTGAACTCTGCAGGAAAATGGATCTCGTGGGCCAGAGTTGAGAACCTCTGCACAAGGTTATTCTGGGTGATTGCTTGGGTTTTTCTACTGTGTGGACGGTAAATTGTTATTGACGATAAATGGTAGAGTGATTATTGCATGCTGCTATACTATTAGGCTGTTCTGTATGGTTGCTAAAATATCACAGTCTCGTTGCTAAGATATACGAGTTTGCTTGTTGCTATGTGATTGTTGCTGTTGTTATGCGATTGGATGTTCTGGATGGTTGCTGTGATGTTAAGGTGTTGAAAGTTTTGGTTTGGTTTGCTTTTTTTTGGTCTGTTGTATCGTAAAGCACTTAAATTACTGAATTTTATTTATTTAGATTTATGGTATATAAGCGCAAATGTCAAGATTATCATCAAGTCAAGTTTCAAGTGTTAAGTGTTGCCACTGTACTATAGAACAAATTATTTATCATATTTCATCTGGAATGTTTTCTTTCATCTGATTGGATGCTTATGAAAATGTATGTTTGTTCCCATGAGACTTTAGTATCAGACAATGCACACGTGTTATTTTGTTCTTTATTGATCTCATTCTCCTGTTCCTCTATCTCTTCATCATGTACCCTCCTCCTCTCAGCATCCTTGAGTGTGTGTGTGTATGTGAGAGAGAGAGGGCGAGAAGCTTGGGGGTTGTCTGAAGAACATGTGTAGAATCGCAGACTCACGGTACTCGTTGTTGCAGTAGTCAGGCTGCTAAACACAGGATGAGGTAAGGCTGGTTGTTGGGTGATTTTTGTCTTTTTCTCTCATTCTCCCTCACTCTGCCTGTCTGTCTTTCCTCCACCCCCTCTCTTTCACTTCATTTCTCTCTATCTTGTTTGGTGTGCATATGGTATTTACCCCGACAGGTTTTTATGAAGCTACATTCTGCCCTAGCATGAGCCAGAGTTGCTGTAATCTCTCTCTGTGTCTCCTTCCTTCATGCTGTTTGGATACTAAGGTAAAACAATAGCAGGAATAGTGTGTGACTCTTGCTCTGTGACTTTGATAAAGTAGAATCAGCTATGCTTTTTTTTGCACAATATTTTTCATTCTACAGTCATTTTATATATACTTTGTGTGTGTGTGTGTGCGCGCGCGCGCTGTCAGTGAAGACAAACGTGCTCGTTTAGTGAGGGGAAACACCCCGCTCTGACCGCTGACACTTGATATGGGAGGTCTGATATCCCTGTTGAAAAAAACAGCATATGCTGGTTAGGTATGTTTTGATGCTGGTTTAAGCTGGTCCTTTGCTGGTTTATGCTGGTCCTTTTGCTGGTTTATGCTGGTCCTTTGCCAGCACATGACCAGCATAAACCAGCAAAAGGACCAGCATAAACCAGCAAAGGACCAGCTTAAACCAGCATCAAAACATACCTAACCAGCATATGCTGGTTTTTTTCAACGGGGATCATAATTCTGATATGTTATTGCACTTTTGGTTTATTGACCTATTAAATAAAACCTATTACTGTATTTGATATTAGATGGCGGTAATAACATTGTTAATTGGATATTAACATTTTCTGAAGAAAGTATCGTTGTTGCCCTTGCAAAACTTGGAGTGGATGGATGCTATGTGGTTTCTAAGGTGTTGTGGGTTGTTTGCAGGTTACTTTGTGGTCGCTTAAGTGTTGGGGGTGGTTGCTAGGTGGTGTCTAAGGTGTTATGAGTGGTTATTTATGTTGCTATTCAGTTGATGTGAAGTTCTGTGTACTAGTTGCTAGGGTGTTGCTATGTGGTTGATACGGTATTGTGAGTGGATGTTTGCAGGTTACTGTGCGGTCACTAGGCTGTTTAGGGTAGTTGCCAGGATGTTTCCATATGGTTCCTAATGTGTGTTTGTTTGTATATTGCCTTGTGGGTGCAAGGGAGTTCTGTATGGTTGCTAGGACTGGGTTGGTAAGGTGGTTGCTAAGGTGTTGAGTGTTTGTTTGCAGGTTACTATGTGGTTTCTAAAGTTTTATGGGTGGTTGCTAGGTTGTCACAGTGTTGCTACATGGTTGCTAGGATGTTCTGGGTAGTTGTCACAGTGTTGCTACATGGTTGCTAGGGTGTTCTGGGTAGTTGCCACAGTGTTGTTTTTTTTTAATTTATTTATTTATTTATTTTTTTACATGTTGCTGTGTGGTTACTAGGCTGTTTAGGGTGGTTTCTAGGATTTTTCCATGTTGTTGTTGTTGTTGTTGTTGTTGTTGTTGTTAAAGTGTTGTGACTTGTGAGTGCTTGTCTGTGTATTGCCATGTGGTTGCTATGGTTGCCAGGACATTACTAAGGTGTTGTGAGAGGTTGTTTGCATGTTGCTATGCAGTCACTGAGTGTTCTGAGAGATTTCTAGGGGATTGCTGTGTGATTGTTAGCATGTTGCTAAAACACTAGGGTGTTTTGAGTGGTTGCTAGAGAGTGCTAAACTGCTCTTAGTGGTATCTAACATGTTGCTATGCAGTCTCTAGGGTGGTTGCTATACCTACTGGACCAAGGCAAAAATATTAGTTTATTTAGTGTAAATATATTAGTACAGAATATCATAGAAATATAGTTAACTTCTCAAGCCATACGATGTGAAGTATCGTAATGTCTGTAGGCCTACTGACAGTGTTACAGAACAAAATGTTATACTTGGGGGTTATTGTTTTATTTAAATCCCTAATCCTCAAGATGAGCAGTAGTAATGGCAATGCTTAGTAGACAACACTAATAAGAAAGTCCATGTATGTTTTTAAAGCACGTTCAGTGTTGTAGGTGTGTTGGGGTGTAACGGGTGTTATGCCCTGCAGAATTATCTTTTGTTTTATAGGTGGGGACTGAGTCATTGAGACCGCCTTGCTCTCACTATTATAGACATTTCACAGCAGGAATTGAAAGTAGGTGAGGTAACGCGGTGAAGAACAAGGCAGTCAGATTTGTATTCACGGAAAGACTCTCAGTCTCCAGGGATCTGCATGACATGTTATATGCTGGAGGAAAATCTGATTGGGTGAGATCTGGAGAAGGGACACTATGATTACAGGTCAGGACATTTGTGGGGTCATAGGGTCTTGACCCTGCTGTTGGTTTACATATGAGAGGGTTATAAAATATAAAGCTAGGCTAGCAGCATCTATTTAAGCCATGATAAAATATACATGGTGTGTCTTGTCTTTGTCTTTTGTTCTTTTGTTTTTTGTTAACTTCTATTAAATTTAATTTTATTTTTAAAAAATTTGTAAAAAGCAGACATTACTGTACAATAGTCGTACAGTACGTACAATGGTGTTAGCCATTCCATTTAATGCAGAAATTACATACTTCACCTTTAATTTATTTTTAATATTTTTGTATTTGTACATCAACCTTTTATCAACTCCAATGGCCTGATATACAGAGTTTTGGAAAAAATACCATGCTACCCTTTTGGACATGTGGCGTGGTATTCCTGGAAGTACCTTGTGAATACAGTGGTACATGGATTTCAGTACCATAGAACTAGTATGGTACTTTTCACAGTGGCATTCACTGTCTGTATAGGAGTTTTAAAACAGCAGATAGTGCTGTGGGATCTCAGCTGGCATTTGGAACTGAATAAGTGTAGGATTCAGGACTGCTATGTCAAAATGCTGACTCATGCTGTATCATTTGCTGACATTGGTTCAAGTATGGATCATAAGCATTTCATTGTGTTGTGGCATCATTAAACATGCCAGGTATAGATGTGGTTGTTTGTCACTGTGGAGTAAATTTGTGTTACTTACAGATATAGCTAGCAATACTCCAATAAGTGCAGATTAAGGTCTGTGCCATGGTTTATTTTAAGGCTTGGGGAACAAATGGTTTTGTATTTAATTATGTTTGCTGCAGGTATACTGCAGGGGGCTTTCAGTCCATATAAGCTTTGAATGGGAACGTAATACCCAAGCCATTTGAGGGAACGCGTTTGGGGACTGGCAAAATATTAACAATACTATAAATTCCCTTGTAACATAACTCTACCATACCTGTACAGTAACTGTCTGTAAATTACCAAACAAATTTTGTGCTAATCTTTGCCAGATACAGAGGGATTCGGTTGAGTGGCTCCACAACAGCTTTGGTGCCTGATTTCATGCACAATAAAAACTGCAAATTGCCCATCCAGTCAGAAAAATGTTTACCGAATACCAAAAATCACGTTGTATGTTGTTCCATTTATTTTCCCCATACTTGTCAAATCTTGCATTTGTGATGTGTATCATGTGTATGTATGCATCTGTATGTCTCTTGGGAAGGCACTACCACCTAATGGCTACAGTATTTTGTATTTGAAATGCTTAAAATACTTTAATCAAGTAGGTAATTTTATTCTCAGATAATAGAGTAACTTTATTCACCTGTGTTATCAACTATAGCCTATCACAGTTTTTGGCTAGATGCAAGTGAATCATATGACATCCTGTTGGATCCATAGATGGAGTCTTAATTCGCCCATGGTTGGATCCAACTGGAAAAAACAATGAAAGAAGCTGATTTGGTGCTCAGTGCAAACTGGTTAGGTATGTACTAAAATATATATACTATCAGATATTGCTCACTGAATGTTTTAACAGGACAGAAGAAAAGAGCAATTTGTAAATAGCTGTGCTGCTCTTGAAATTCTGGATTTGCTTGCTAGCTTAAGTTAGCTACTTATTTCTATGGATGAAAGGACATTTTTAAAGGGGCTTTATGAAAGATTTTCAAGTATTAATCGCCTTTTTATTGACAATGTGTGAACCGCATGTAACACAACGTTAAAAAAACTAGATGAAACCTGTTGACTGATTTGTATGTGCAGGACTCAGGGTGGTTTTGCCCGGAAACGATCATTATTTTTAATGATCCTCATCTGTTGACAGGATGTCAATGACGTTCACTCACTGTTTTGGCCATCACTCGCTCGCATGAGTATGGAGTGTGTGCGTGAGCACAAGCAGTAAGTTGCTGGCTGCAGTTCACTTAATGGCCACTGGTGTCACTAATAACAAGAGTTTCTCAATTCTACATATTCTATTTAACAGCTAAATATCAGCATTTTTAGAAGCTAATCTTCATTGTTGACAGTGAAATCACTTGAGCCATCCTCTTGAATAGGACTAGGCAGTATGACAATATGTATTGTTCCACAGGACTGCTTAATTTGACACGTTGACGCTATAAAGAAACATAAATGAAAAAAATAAAGGGTAGATATGCTTGATGGTATTCACATAAACAGTCGGTTGTGTCTTAAGTAAACATTAGAAATTAGAAGAATTATGTATCGATATATTGGATCCATGTATGCATCTTAAAGTGACAGTAGCCTAACATACCTGCTGCTGGCTATATCCTTAATTGTAATCTGACAAAGAGAAAATAACTCCCTGCTCTTGACTGAATTGCTTATTTTTACTAATAAAGATCAAATAAATTTAAAAAATAACTATATTGTGATATACATCATTATATGAAATAAAATTTTTGGTCATACTGCCCACCTCTTGAGGATAAAGATTGCATTTTTCTGTCTGTAGAAGATCAGTTTTGTGTCTTCTTAAATTAAAAGTTTTACAATATGAAGAATAAATATGCTGAAGTAAATGGACTCCATCCTGGCTAATGCGCAATAATATTTTAGTGTTAGGGTTAAAGAAAATGTTGTTTATAAGTTGGTCAAGGAGAGGAAAGAGCTTCTCTTTCTCTTATGTGTATCTAACTCCACTATTACTAAATGTGTTTTATCTTACTGTACTGTAATTTCATTGTCTCTTGCACTTTAAATGATTGCTTGCAAATATTGTAGGTATTTTATTTATTTTAAAAATGATAAATTACGTGTTTTAATTAAATACATTTGATGAGCAAGTATTTGTAATTTGTAACAAAATACTTTTTTTGATGTCTTTGTGCCCATATCTGTTCCTAGCAACAGTCCTACTTTTAAATTGACACCTGCCACGGTGTTTGTCATCTCTGATAAATTAAATAATTAGATGGCAAAGTGGTATAGAAGGATATCCTTCTAGGAGTGGTATTTTGTCCGTTTTATTTTGTAAAAAGTGAGCAGCGGTTTGTTCATGAGAATTTTATCCATAAACAGGCATGCACAGAGTTCTGCAGATTTCGTCAGGTTCATTCATTCATGTTGATTTATTGCTAAATAGCTCATTATTACTAAATAACTAATTTGACAATGCTTTGAGCACATTTGACCATTTTTAAATCCATTCCTCTGCATAATTGTCCCTTACACACATGTGAGCCTGCAGATTCTGTGTGTTTTGCAGAGCGAGAGTGTTGCCGTGAAGGAGAGGGAGTTGTCCCTGCTGTTAGCCAGGATCAGGGATGAAGTGGGTAAGTCTGCTCTGGCTCTGAGGTAAAAAAAAAAAAAACGACATCACAGCCATCTAATCTCAAATGTTAGGATGTCAACCATAAAATAAAAAAGAGACTATATAGATCTTCTCTGATTACACATTTGTAAACTGCATTTTTCTCTTTCCATTCCCCTGGATTAAATTTGGCATGTGACTCTTACACCATTTGTGTTACAGACTTAATGCAACACTTTTTACCTAAAATACATAGTGTCATATTCTACAAATGGTTCACTATGTCCCATGATTTTCAAATATGCATCAAATATCTCATGTAAAAATCATAATTTTGATTGTTTAATTGGTTAGTAAAAAAAATATATATTTTTCAGTAATTTTAATTACCAAAAACATTGTATTTATCTGTGTTGTTTTGCAGCAGCATGATATACCTTTCTATTTTCTGTGATATTCCTTAAAATTGTGACACCCAAGAAACATGATTTGGACTTTCTGCAGCATGCCAGTGAACAACTGAATAGTCTCTTTCCATGTTCTCAGTTTTACAGATATTAATGTGTTGACTACATTTGTCAAGCTCAACCATCAATCCTCTTAAGTTATTGCAAGAATGATCAAAAAAAATATTTACTTTAATTTATTGGGAAATTTTAGTTTATCAAACCAGCATTTGGTGTCATAATTGCCAGCCTAAGTGACAGCTTTATATATGCTGAATCTGCAACAATGTTACTTTCAACCTTTGTACCTATTGTGGTGATTTATTTATTTTTTGTTTGTTTGTTTGTTTTGGTTTTTTGATTTGTGACATTTTGATTGATTGATTGATTTATTTATTTTTGCTATAAAATGAAAATAAAAATCACACAAATCAGAGTTTTTAATTTTAAGATTAAAATTTTAGACATGCAAATTTACAAACCCCATATTTAATGAATAGAAAATAAAACAGCTCATGTATTCTTTAATTTGTTCACCAGAATAAGTACCAAGGTTAAAAGTACCAGGGTTGCAAATGTATCCGCAACAACATTTTTTGAAGGTTAAACACGTCCTTTCACTGACTATAACAAATTATTTGTCTCTAGTGGTCAGTGTTCAGCGGTGGGAGCGTCTGCAGGGTGAGAAGGCCCAACTGGAGCAGAGTTTTGAGCGGGAGCTGAAAGGACTACAAGAGGAGCAACAGCAGGAGCTCAAGGCCCTGCAGGAGAGACTGGTAGAGGAGCGCACCTCCGAGATACAGCGACTCCGGCAACAGCAGAACAGCCACCTAGTGCAGCTGCGTTCCCAGCACCAGGAACAGGTGAGATGAGGAAGTAACCGGGTGTAGAGGCCAAGATTATCATTGACACACCTTGAAGAGTCATTTATTTTAGCACTGTACACAAAGGACTTCAAGGTATGAAGGCTTATGAGGGTTAAGAAAGCCCAGAAGGTGGTTGGTTACATGTCTTTGTAGTCTGATGATGCACTAATCATCTTCCCTTAAGCCCAAAATATACTTCAGTTTTGACACAAATGCTTAGAGTATGTGTACAGCCAAACACACAGCCTTTATTAAATTAGCATCATGTGCACTGTATGCATACTCTAGTCTAGTGTATGGGTAAAAAAGTATAGTATATTTGGAACGGAAATCCAGTCATTTCAATGGGAATCATAAAAAACATTTTCACTTGAACAATTTCCAGTGGCAAAAAAAATCCGTTCAAGTTCTGTGGACTTTGACACACAAATTTGCAACAGCCAATAACAACCTTCTTGGTTCGCCAGTGACCTCTGTGTGGGTGGAGATTTGTAACTTGGTAACAAAGCATACTGAAGATCACCAAGACAATTTTCAGCAAATTGTTCACAAGTCTCAAATGGCCCATAGTGCTAATCTAAATTGGTTTGGTATTAATAAAGAGAGAGACAACAGTGATACGAGATGAGAGCAACTTGTTACAGTATTTTTCTATAGACAACGATCAAATATACGTTGTAAAATGTTATAAATGACCAGTCAGAATCCAGAGTGCCTTGTAAAAACCTTTTAAAAACTGACAACCATTTTTGTTTTCCATTTTAGATCGAGGAAATGAGTGAAAACCATGAGAGGGCCATGATGGAGATGGAAGCGACCCATGGTGCCACGTTGGCCACTTTACAGGAAGAACACACCAGAACCATCAAGAGTGAGTCCTGCTGACAGACACATCCATCACACTCCCAGAAATTGAAGCAACTGTGTCTAAAGACCTAGTGAGCTGCCTACTTAGACATCATTATTAGGGTATCATAGCCTAAAAGCTATATAATACCATATAGGTTTGGCCCACTATGAGAGCTCTATTGATTTCTGGTGGAAGTCCCTGCTAACAACATAACTACAGACAGCTGAAACTGAACTGTCTGTTAAATGTTAATTATTTTTAGTGCTGTCAAACAATTAATCGCGATTAATCACATCCGTAATACATGTGTGTGTACTGTATATATTTATTATGTACATATAAATACACATGCATGTATATATTTAAGAAAAATGTTTTGGTTATAAAATATTAATATTTTTATATAATATAAATTATATTTGTGTTATATATGTATGTGTGTGTGTATGTGCAAGTAAATATTTTAAAATATATATATATATATTTTGGATGTGATTAATCATGATTAATCGTTTGACAGCACTAATTTTCATCAGTGTTACTAACATGAATTGGTTGTTTGTTTTTAGACCTGAAGATGGCACATGAGCAGCAAAAGAAGTCAATGGAAGAGGAATTTGAGAAGCTCAGACTCTCACTACAGGTACTGTATGTCCTCACTTTTAATGCCATCGTACATTGTTTTTACCCTTTTATTTATAATGGCATGTGTAAGGGTGTGAGTTCCTGTGCTGTGTTTAGGATCAGGTGGACACCTTGACATTTCAGAACCGTGCTCTGCGAGACCGGGCCAAGCGCTTTGAAGAAGCACTGCGCAGAAGCACAGATGAGCAAATGGTGGTACTGTTCTTGATATTCTTTTGTGTGTGTGTGTGGCCAGTGGTATTTAAAAAAAAAAATCATCCCCAGAAAATTCTGTCATAATTTTATCCTGTGTTCCACAAAAGAAAGATGAGGGTGAGTGAATATAACCAGCTCTTTAAACTCTGGACATCCTGGGATGCTTTTTAAACAGTACCGAAACATGCTGGACACTTGTTTACTGCTTTGTAGTTAATTTATATGTCATAATATAATTATAATCAAATATAAATTCAGTTAATTATATGGATAGTTCTGGGATGTAGATACAGTATGTAGTAGTTTGCATCTGTTTTCTGTTTGCATGTGGACAGGATGCTCTTGCTCCGTATCAGCATATCGAAGAGGACCTGAAGAGTCTTAAAGAGGTTCTGGAGATGAAGAATCAACAGATTCATCAACAGGAGCTCAAAATTTCAGAGCTGGAAAAAATGGTAAATTATATTAACAAACATTGCAAAATAACGTTAAAGATGGCTTTAAATATTAAAGACGCAATGAAACTGGAGTTTTGTGGCTTTCATTCCCTGTACTCATAAACAAAGTTCGCTTTGTCAGATATGTACATTTATACTACAAGGCTGTTGAAGCACTTGAATCTGTTTGGTTGAGAAACATTATTTTCAGGGAAACGCACAGCTAAAGTAGTTCCATGTCCATATCACTTCACCAAATGATTTCAGTTACTTAAAGTCCTTACAGCCTACAGTAGCAAAAGAAGCAAAACCTGCAATGACGTGGACCAAGCAAATAACAAGAAGATAAAAATGACAAATTATTTCCATGTTTTTGTCACAAAATTGGACCAATAGTAGTTAGACGGTTTTTACCGGAAACTGTTTTGAACTTCATTTTGGCCTGATTTTGTTTGACATTACATCAAACCAGTTCATTCTTTGATTGCACTTGAAGTATATCTAGGACTTTATACTTGTATAAAAACTTATACTGGCACCTGTGTGTGGATGTGTTATCAAACAAAACCGAAGGTTTTCAGTTACTTGTGCCTTTAGAAATTAAAAATGTCCTATATGCAGTTGTATTTGTCAACCATAAAAGGTATCCAGTAACAACCGAGAGTTTCCAAGTCATATTTGTTGGCCACAAGGCAACTTGCCTTCAGAATAAAACACATTTTAGGCCTCTAATATGACTTGATTCTCCATCTTATTTTAATGTACATAATGATGAATAAAGCTAAAGTGCTCCTTTGAAATTAGAAATGTTGAGTTTCAGTGATTTCGTGTGTCATGTTTTTACACAGGCCCAAAAGAATGTTATGTTGGAGGAGCGTATTCGGGTGTTACAGCAGCAAAATGAAGACCTGAAGGACAGGATTGACCGCAACCTTGCCATGTCCAGGTCTTTATAAAACATTTCTAGTTTTATACCATTAAAGGCACATTAGTTTGGGAGGATTTCGATACTACGCTCTTAAAAATGGGTTCTTTATTGGCACTGATGGTTCCATGAAGAAACTTTAACATGCATAGAACCTTTCCATTGCACAAAAGGTTCTTTATAGTGAAAAAAATTTTAGATTATTAAAATGTTCTTCACACTAAATGTTCTTTGAAGAACTGTTTACTGAAAGGTTCTTTGGCATCGCTGTGAAAACCACCTTATAAACCTTTAGTTTTAAGAGTGTATGACCCTTTTAAAGCTACAGAAGAATGCTTAGTAGTTGTTTCCTCTATTCTACTAGGCAACTGTCTGAGGAAAATGCCAACCTGCAGGTGAACGTTGAGAAAGAGAGCAACGAGAAGAAACGACTGAGTCGCACCAATGAAGAGCTGCTGTGGCGTCTTCAATCGGACGAGTTGAGTCCTCGAATGTCTCCCACCCAATCGCCCCTTCATCGACCAGCCTCTAGTCCAGCTTCACCCTCCCCACAACAGCCCTTCCCTAGATGAGTGTCCAGTTCTCCGTCTCTCACACTATTCTTTTTTTCCTTTATCTTTAACTCCTGTTTCTCATTGTGGAGTCTGATTTGATTCTGAATGGAACAGAGGATGCTCTCACACCTCTGACATCATAGATGGTGGTCATAGCGCTTTCGGTTTCATCATGCCAATGTTACTGTATTAGTTAGTTGATACAGTGGTCAGGGTTTGAGTTGGAGCGTGACTGAACAAAATAGTTGAAGGCATGTACGTAATTATGTAAATAGATGGTTAACCCAAAAATTTAACATTCTATCATAATTTACTTATTCTGAACCTGCATGACTGACTTTCTTATGTGGAGCATAAATGGAGAAATTTTAAAAAATTGTTCTTTTTTGCGCAATTACAATGAATAGGGACTGAAGCTTTTAAGTTTTAAAAGGATGCATGAAAGTCAAATTTAAGTTCATTGTTATACTCCGCCTACAGTGTGACTGGATAGTTGAATCAGTGAGTTGATCTCGAGAACTAAATCAGTCTGATTCATGAAGAATCAGTCGGGTTCAAGAATCAATCAGCATTCTAAGCCAATTATGGTTGAAAGTTCCATCTTTATCAGCATAGTTCAACGATTCCGCATTTGCATTTGAAACTGCAGTTCTAACAAATGTTCGCAAACAGCATCATAAAGTTGTTTGGTTGGAACTACAGCCTTCAACCTGTGATTAGGATTGTGATTTTTTTTTTTTTTTTTTTTTTTTTGTATGACGTGAACGTAAATGGATCATGCTCTTGAGAAAAAACAAAGCAAGCTAACATGCAGTACAGTCTGTCTTTTATTCTATATATCTATATATCTATATCTATATACACAGTAGTCCTCAGATGGCATATCCATTATATAAAGCAGTAATCTTAAATTATTTTGATCTTGAACTGATTAATTAGCAGAAGTTATTATTGTACCACCTGTGTGATGTCACTAACGTTTTGTTTTTTTTTTTTTTTTTTTTTTTTTTGTATGACGTGAACGTAAATGGATCATGCTCTTGAGAAAAAACAAAGCAAGCTAACATGCAGTACAGTCTGTCTTTTATTCTATATATCTATATATCTATATCTATATACACAGTAGTCCTCAGATGGCATATCCATTATATAAAGCAGTAATCTTAAATTATTTTGATCTTGAACTGATTAATTAGCAGAAGTTATTATTGTACCACCTGTGTGATGTCACTAACGACAGTTGTTGAACTAACACGGTTTGAGCAACAGATGTGCAAAAAAGGCAATAGTTGTGACTAGCTCATGAATTAGTTAATGAATTGGACATTACTGCTTTTCTCGTGAACAAAATTGACATCTCTCCTAGGTATTTGGATTAAGTAAATGACAACAAATAAGATTTTGGTCAGTTCTTATAGTTGTTTGACTTTAGTAGACTTGCAGTGTAGCACATGCGTTTCATAGATCACTTTTATGGTGGTTTGAAAGCTTGAAAGCATCAGTCTTCATTAGATGTAATTACATGGAAAAGACAGACCAGCACATACTTCAAAATTTCTTCATCTGTGTTCCACAGAGGAAAGTCAGTCAAATGAGTTTGGAGCTTCAGTGAGAAAATGACAATTTTGGTGTTCAAAATTGTTAAATTTACATGATCCTGCACTAGAGAGAACAGAAAAAGGAACATTATTCTCCCTTATTTACTTTAAGACTGTATCGTGTCCGTCACAATGTTGTGCATGATTTCACAGGCCATTTTGGAAATATACCTCGTTTGTATCTTCTGCTCTAATGGATTTGGCTCTTGGGCTTGCGCTGAGGTTTTCCGTTCGAACAGGACATCACGGCGCTTGTTCTCCAACCTTTACCTATGGTCTCAAGCTTTTCCAAAGATTGATCAAGACAACATATATACCAGTTTTACTAGGAATTTGCCTTTTAAAAGGAAAATCTCCCACCAGCAGCCCTCTGTGCAAGCTCAATACACCGAACAGGAAAACACAGGAAGATCTTTATAGGCAAGTTAAGGATGGACAGCAGCCATTCAAATGAGGTAAATACTTTGTATGTCAACTAATAGTTATGTAGTCTAGGGGCTTAAATGTTGAGACAAATGTGAGTTTAAGATGTACTTACACTTTTTTTTTTTTTTTTTAAGGTGGTTCCTTCACATTTTGTGACTACTATACAAGGATGCTAATATTAGTATGGACTGACAGTGCAGTAGTGTAAACAACTTGCGAAACTTCAACCTGCTGTCTTTACCTTCATCTCTTTTTTTTGTGAGGGTAAACAATCCTCATGCCTTCATCTCAACGGTCCATGTTTACAGAAAACTCCGGAATGCATTAAGCTGTAAGAACTCCCTGTGAACTTCATGCCACTGTTATCAGTCATGGTTATTTATGTCCCTCTTCTCTGTACAGTATGTATCTTAAGTCTTCCGGTTGCTCTGACTCCGATAATATGCCTAAACTGCATTCATGTGGACACTATGAGGGCTTTTGTCCTATGTCCTGCATCATATTTAACCGAAAGGTTTTTGTTAAAGTACTACAGAACATTACATTAGCATGTTATGTTAGCAACATGCAGGTTATCATGAGTACCTCAGTTCTTGAAATGAAAATGCAGGCTTCTACAGAGACTTAGTTTATTGTAATACATTCAGGGTCTACTGCGTCAAAGCCATGGTCTCAATACAGGAAGTTTAGTCATGAATCATAACCATAAAGTATTTTAACTACACCTGCGTTTTTTTTTCCCTGAATGGCCTACAACAACTGTCCTGTAATTAAGTGGATCATTTTTATGTGTATATGCACTTGTATTCTTGCTGACACTGTGGTAAAAGTCTGGATTCAGTCTTTGGGAACTTTAGAAATGAGTTAGGAATTCATCTTGTTCTTGAATGTTTTGTTATTTAATGTGCCGAGGGGACAATATACGCGTTTTATTTTCTGTCTAAGTGTACTTAGTAGTGCAGCTATTAGTGATTGAATTTTTTGATTAGCATAAATGACCATGATTTTTTTTGATTTTTTTTTTATAGGAACATAAAATCATTAGTTCACATTCTTCAGCCTTAACATTTGTACAAACACAGAAAGTGCAAATGGCTGCTGCAGTTTACAAACACTTGAACTAAGATGATGGCTTGTTTTCTATCATTGTACTGGTGAATTTTGATTATTCCTGCTCATTCTCCCGTACCACCTCCCATCTCAGTCAGAGATCTAGCTCAGGTTAGGAAGGTGCATTACAAATGTCATTCACAGTTTGACTCGATACATTCTAAGACATCTTCATGTTGTATCTACAGTACAGAATGTAAACTATACATTTGAAGGTTGGCATCAATGTAATATCACACTTGTGTTTAAATGTATTTCACTCATATAGCAATTAAATCGAAAGCTTTGAATGAAATAATGAAATTTAAAAATCAGTCAACTACCTGTCTGCTAAGAAAAATTCTACTGTTACAGTTCCTTGGGTGGCTGCTTGGATTATCTCTGCTTTTGAAATGTAAATGAAATCTTCAATCAATCAGGTTGTGAAACGCACTGATTTTTATTAATTTTTTTCTTGTGTGTGTCCCATGGACATGATTATGGAGTTTCTGAATGCTTCTTCCATTCTTAAAGGAATAGTTCAACCAAAAATATTTTGTCATTATTTACTCACTCTCATATGGTTCAAATCTCTTATGTTGTTATTTTTGTCCTTGTAGTATACTTCAATTTTTAACCCTTGTGTCATGAGCTCATTTTATGGGCACATAAAAATGTGGATCACCAAATCACAAAATATTGGATTTAATCTTTGTCAGCTTGAGTGCCAAAAAGGATGAAAAAGCATCATAAAAGTAGCCCATACCACTTGTGTGCTATGTTCCAAGTCTTTTAAATCCATGATGAACTAGAGTTGTATGGAGCAGAACAGAGTATATGTTTGGGAATGAAAAGAGGATGAATAAATAATGACCAAATGTAATTTTTTTTTTTTGATGAACAGGAATACAACTGTAATACAAACATAAATGTCTGTCATTGGATATTTAAGGGAGGACTGTAACATGGATTGTGTTAATGAAATGTCCTAATGATTTTTTTTCTCTCTTCTAATTTGTGTTGTACAGCTTGTATGAGCTTTATGTGTGATCTGTTACAACACTTTAATGGAAAAGCATGTCTTAAAGCTGTAGTATAATTTGTTTCGTTCAAACCTCGTTAGTGTAGCTAATCACTGTTCTGATGCATTCAAAAACTCTTGATTATGTTGCACTTTATTGCACTTTGGGTTTAAATATTAAAAGACAATGTAAAAGCACTGTTTCTTAAAGCTGACTTTCAACTCATTTAAAAAGTACAACTTTTGAGGGAAGACAGTTTCCAAGAGTCTAGAAAAATAATATTAACTAATGTATTATTATTGCTAATATATAATGATATTAGTATGAACTTCTGTATATCTCTATCTATATCTTTACTAATAAAATAGCTCAGAAGCTTTTTCACTTTCCAGTTATTAAATAAATAGTTCACTCAAATTAAAATTTGCTGAAAATTTACTCCCTGCATACCCCAGCAACAGCCCTGCGTGAGGCCATCCAAGATGTTGATGAGTTTGTTTCTTCATCAGAACAGATTTAGAGAAATCTATCGATCCATGAAGTCATTTTAAGTTAAAACACCTTGGATGTTAGTTGATGGACTGGAGTCGTGTGGATTACTTGTGAGTTATTGTGATGCTGGTCACACTTTATCAACTAAAGTGTTACTGTGATGTTATCAGCTGTTTTGACTCATTCTGATGGCACCCATTCACAACAGAGGATGCTAACTCATCTCGGATGGCCTGAGGATGAGTGAATTATCAGCATATTTTCATTTTTGGGTGAACTATTCCTTCAAAGGCTGCATTATTTCTCACTGAATTCTGTTTCACAGAGAGAGAAAAAAACATCACATTACAGCTTTTTAAAAAGACTAGAAGCATGGAAATCATTCATTCTTTTTGGATGTGAAATGCTGAATGATATCAATAGGCAAGGGGAAGATAATGGTGGAGTTTCTTTCTGCTGCTATGGCGTTTAGTGTCTGGAGGTATCGCAGCTGCAGAGCTGATGGTGACTCAGAGATCACCAGAGACGCTTCCTTCAGTGCCCGCGAGGCGTTCATCTCCCCCTCAGCTGCGATCACCTACACAGCGATATAATAACACACTTGAGTCGCTTGTCATATGTTGTGCCTGATATGGATTTTCCTCTGCATAATGTATTCCTCTGTATTTGACTCCGCTATAATATTAAACTGTAGGGCCGTAATCACTGATTTTCTCCAAATGATCCTAGAAGGCCTGTAGAGCATTGCTTTTGGGAGAAATCTCAATTCAGATGAAACGGATTACTTAAGGGAGAAGTGACATTTTTAATATAAAAATCCCATATTAAAATATCCCAGTTTATAAGGGGGTATGGCCTGAAAACAAAATGTACATTTTTATATCATAATACAATTATTAAAACCTATGCCATAATGGGTAACAGGGTTGCAAATTTGCTTAATGTATCACTCAACAGCAGTTAGCTAGTATGCAAGGGCGTGTCTACGTGGTGCCCAGGGGTGGCACCGGCCACCCCTGTAATTTGGCTGGCCCCCCCCTACCAGATGTCTTGCGATAGGCTTGTTTTTAGTAAATTTCTAACTGCATCTGGCAGTGGCGGATCCTGGCATGTGTAGGCAGCTACCTAGGGCCGCTTTCTTCTCTTCTTTATACTTAATTGTAGGCGGTTTCTATAGTGTGATCTTAATGACAATGTCAAGAGCGCATAATGTTACGTGATCCATGTGCGCGAGGACGAATCTCTCCACTCCCAAGCGGATTTCCTTCACTCACACAAAACTGGACGTGTACTTTTAAATATTGTTCTT